TGTCCGTCACCCGTGGCTGCTGCGTACCTGTTAAACCAAGCCGAAAGGGACCACGGCGCAGGCTCTCTTGCTAAAAGCTGTTGCATTCTGTCCCCTGCTAGGTCGGATTGTCTGACTCAGGACCTTGAAAAGCCCAAACCCAAATTTGTGAGAGAGGTTTTGGAGAAGTGCATGCGGTAAGTAAGATCCTTTGATGGTGCTGTTGCAGGCAGAGTTCGGTGTTTGCTCCTGGATACCGTCAGATTCCTTTAAAACTGACTCTTGGCTTAGGCACGCCAGTTCGTAGAACTCTGTTTCAGTGAAGAGGTGGATCTGTTTGTTTGATTTTGATCAGGTTTGCCAGATTGGTAGCAGTTTACCAGTGCTGTAGGATGCTAGAGAGAGCGGGGGCAGTGGGGGAGCTGTCGCGGGTATGCACCCCTGTAGTTACAGAAGGACATGTTCCGCCCCTGGCATGGACGGAAACGGAGTTCAGGCAGCGTTCCTGGAAAGTATTCAGCATTCACAGGAATGGAAGGAACTGATCATTAGTTACACTAAAAACTGAGACTCTAACCTGGATTCTTCTCGGTGTCTCTGATGTTCATTGACCTTCACAAACAACCCTCCAAGCAGACAAACAAAAGCCCCAAACCCAGCAACAAGGACACACAGTCGGGGCTAGACTTAAAATTATTGAGGGATACAGGGGAGAGAACAAGCAAAATTATCAAAAAGCCTATGTTATTCAGCAATCCTACATGAAAATAAGCATCTGTTTTGGGGTGAATTCGGTATAGGAAGCGTGAAAGTATTGTGCTGCAAAACAAATGCAGCTTTTCATGGCACTCTTCAGTTTTACTGAAAACTCTGGTAGCAAAATTAAGCCTTTGTGGGAGTGAAATAAACTGGAAAGTAAAATGAAGACATCCAGTTTAATTTTGTTTCTGCTTAGACTCCCAACATCTTACTAGCTTTCAGCAGCGTATCTTAGGCTTTTGCATAAATCATCCTACCAGGCAGCCTCTGCGTCCTCTCACCAGCTGAATTAATTGCCTGGGGATGAAAATACATCCAAGAGTTCAAATAGAAAGCATCTATTACCAAGTTTGGGTTACTGAGCTCTTGCTACCCAGCAGAAACCACCACTCTGTTGGGTGTGAACATCCAATGCAGTAAGCTCCAGGGGGACCTCGGAGCCCCTTCCAGGGCCTGAAGGGGCTACAAGGGTGCTGGGAGGGACTTTTCCCAAGGGCCTGTAGTGACAGGACAAGGGGTAACGGGTTTAAATTGAAAGTGGGGAGGTTTAGATTAGATATCAGGGAGAAGTTCTTCCTGCAGAGGGTGGTGAGGCACTGGGACAGGTTCCCAGAGAAGCTGTGGATGCCCCATCCCTGGAAGTGTCCAAGGCCAGGCTGGATGAGGCTTGGAGCACCCTGGGCTATGGAAGGTGTCCCTGCCCATGGCGCAGGGGGTGGGACTGGGTGGGCTTTGAGGTCCCTTCCCACCCAAACCATGCTGTGATTCTGATTTTTGTTTTATGGAAGTTAAATGCAGAACAACCATTATAAAGCACTCACTTTAAAGTTATCCCTGTTGTTATTCCCATTCTAATTCTACTGCTGTGGAACTTGTTATTTCCAGACTCTCCTACCACCAGCGAATAATAGACATTGTTCCTGCGAGTTTTTCTGTCCTCAGCCCTGCTAATCCAGTGTGCATCTACAAGTACGGAGACGAAAGCAACAGTGAGTGTTGGAGTCACTGCGGGGGGGTCACGCTGACGAACGTAGCGTTTTGGAGCAGGGGAGCACACCAGGGTGGCCGCGAGGCCAGCACTCTCCGTAAAGAGGAACACGGCTGAAACAGAGACGCGTGGTTTCCCCGTGGGTTAACACGCTTCACGTGCGCGCTGGCGTGTCTTCAGCCTGTAGCACAGCCGTCGCTGCTGGTTCACGGTGAAAAGAAAATCCAGGGGCGTGAAGTTACCGTTGCTGAGGTGGTGGTTGTGGTGGTGTGCAGCGTGGTTTGCCAGTAGTCTAAAGTTGGAAAATTCGTCTGTTTCTCGTGTTTGGGCACAGTGTGGTGCAAAAGTCAGGGTGTGAAGCCATGATGTGGGCTTGCTTGTTGAACTTGATGAAGCAGTAGAAGGTTTTGCCGGCGAAGGTGGTTTAATGAGGCATACCGAGGCAGCAGACGTGCAGATACCTTGTCACTCCTTTTGTTCCTCTGCATCAAAACAATCCTAAGCATAAGCATCCCCATCAAAGATACAGTGAGTTAAAACAAGGAAGTACTGTCTTTCTGGGAAACTTTTGGAAGCTGAAGCAGAGCGTTAGGCAGGAGAGTGATTACCTGATCTCGGCTCTGGACGTTTGTGCTGGTTCCAGCTGGGACAGCATTGGTTTCCCCCCCAGCAGCTGGGACGGGGCGGTGTTTGGGTTGTGCTGAGGAGGACGCTGATAGCACACGGGTGTTTCCAGTTGTGGCTACGGGATGCCGATGGCAACCGGGGGGCGCTTCCAGGGCCCGGGACCCCCCCGGG